GAGTAGCTTCTGCTAACATGCAAATTTCCTTCTTGAGGTTTGCCCTTTCCCTCGATTCCTCATAAGCACACCCTTATTCCCCCACACCTCATTCTCTCACCTGGCCACTAAACACACATACTCTCCCTTCTTAGACCCCTTGGGTAGGTAATTTCTAAGAACCCTTCTTTCAGGTGTAACTGTTTTTGAATCTATCTGGTTTGAGGTCAAGTGTGATTTCCATCACTGTCTTAATGTTGTAGGTAATGGCACTGGGCCTAGGCCCTCTAATGACTGTGGCAGTAGAGCTTGTATGGGATCATTTGGCAGTAACAAGATAGATTTTTCCTCTCCTCATGAGGGGTTCAGGAGATTGGCTGTAATAGGGACAACAGAAGGAATTTTCTCTGGGCTTTACTGTATATTACTATAGTCATAGGAATGGGAGTTGAAGGGGCAAAGCATCTGTTGGGCCATTGCCCCACTTTTCCTTGGGCCTAAGACTTGACCAATAGAGAAAGAGAAGTGGCATTTCTAGGATGTCTGGGATACAAGAGGAGTTCCTGTCTCCTAGATCTAATCAGACTTCATACTGGGAGACTGACAACCCTTGTTTTAGTGGGAGGGCTCTATAGGCAAGGATGGTGCAAAATATGAAATAATCCAAAAATGTTCTCTATTTGTCTTTGAAACACTTTTATATAAATACACCCAAACTGATATGACACTTAAGACAAAAATAAAAGTACAAAAGCCCCATTTGTGGTGATCTCAGTAATCCTAGCAGAGCATTTACTTCACAAGTTGGGTTAATCTTTTGACCAGTATGAGGCACCAATCCAGACAGTGATGTTTTCTCAAAGCTGCTTGCTTGCAGGCTCTGTAGGGCAGAATTTGCATGTAAAGAAAAGCAGCCAAATAATAAAGTAGGGCAGGTGCTAATTATAATGGAAGGATGGGGCAGTGGACCAGTATTGTGCTGTTATGTCATCTTTAACTCTTGCCATAACCTTGTGAAGAAACAGTCTTACAGCTAAGTAGTAGTAGGCAGGACTTTTAACCTATTATGTTTGCTGCCAAAGATCTATGTGTTTCCTATGCTGCTGTCAGTTGCCTGTATATTCCCAGTTCCCTCAACACTGAACAACTGTAATGTAATTGATTCTGCTTCCACCTAAGTAGGACTTAAATCTTTCATCTGTAAAACAAGAATGGTTAATTATGTATTACCTTACATAATTTTAAAATTCTGTGCTTTTGGTTATCAAATTTGAAAAGGGGTTTGTCAGGGATAAACATAGTAAAGGATGTTGGTTTTGTTCTGCCTCCTTATTTTTGATTCAGATTCTTTCAATGAGGTTTAAAAGAACGTATTTTTTAAAAAGAACATATTTGATTGAGAAAACGAATTCATAAAATTAAACACACGATGACAACAGTACAGAAGGTTTAAGGTCCATAAAAGTGTAAACTTCACTATATCAGGTGTATATGATGACAGACACATCTGTATTTTATTATTTGCAAAGTTAAAACAGTGTTTATAGGCTAGGAGGTCAGTGAGAGGGTCCAAACCTATTTCTAGCATAAAATGGACTAATTGATGTTCTTAAGGCAGTGGATTGCTTGACTTTTAATTTTTCTTGCCTTATAATCATAACGACCAGTAAAAATTTCAAGATATTTCAATCAGGAGGAGAAACAGCACTTTGATTAACCACAGACGAAATAGTTATTAGCTAATTGTGTTAAATATACCTTTTTGAGATATGCTTTTAATGATTATAGAAGAACTAGTAAGTTCATTATTATAAATTTGTGTTTTAAGATTGTGACAGACTTCAAGGTTAGCAGATGGGAGATTGTGCAGTTTGGCTAATCCTTAAATATTGTAACATGGGATGTGCTTACATTAATGATTAAATTTTAAATTGGAAATGTTTCCATGTATAACTACTTAAAGGGACTATTTTGGTGTTTTTGAAAGTGAAAATCTTAGTAGCATTGCATTTGTTTTAGCAGCGTAGAGGAATAATCAAGTTGGGAGGGAGGACAGTATCTCCATCTTTATTCCATCCTGTAATGAATTGTTAGAGTCAAACTGGAAGCATAGTTGTTGCTTCTGTTATTAATGTGTTGAATTTTCCTAGCTCCTCCTCAGTGGCTTTTTCCGCCCCCTTTCTTTTATTTATTTTATTTATTTATTTGACAGACACAGCGAGAAAGGGAACACAAGCAGGAGGAGTGGGAGGGGGAGAAGCAGGCCTCTGCTGAGTAGGGAGCCCGATGCGGGGCTCGATCCCAGGAGCCCAGGAGCCCGGGATTATGACCCAAGCCGAAGGCAGATGCCCAACGATTGAGCCACCCAGGCGCCCCCCCCTTTCTTTTAAAAGGCAGATAAAATTACTACAGGATCTTACCTGTCTCTTAATTCTGCTATGTGGCAAGAATCACTTTTAAAAGAATATCACAAATTATCACCATCAGTTAGCTAATACTTAGTGGTTAAAGTCCATGCCCCGATGATGAATGCTTTAAACATACCTTATTTAACCTTGGTTTGCTAATGATAAGTGTAAGATGACCTTAGAATACAAGATTCTTTTTTTTTTTTTTTAAAGATTTTATTCATTTATTTGACAGAGAGACAAGTACGCAGAGGCAGGCAGAGGGAGAGGGAGAAGCAGGCTCCCCGCTGGGCAGGGAGCCGGATGTGGGGCTCGATCCCAGGACCCCGGGATCATGACCTGAGCTGAAGGCAGCGGCTTAACCGACTGAGCCACCCAGGCGCTCAAGAACACAAGATTCTTAATTGTGGTTTCTTGTTGGAAGAAAGATAAAAAGGCAGCCATTCCTTTATTAAAGTTTGAATAGTATTGTCATTGTTTTGGATACACTGGAACTGAGAAATGACACTGATGATAATTTAACTTTTAAGTGTAATTAAAATATGAAAATATTACTGTCTTTGTTTATGATGAATACTAAATTTAAGCTAAGCTATAAGGTGTGCTGTTTGGAAATAATGGAAGATACAAGAATGAAGCCAGATAACAAGTTTATGCTTGTATTTCCTACTGATGAAGACTTTCAGACAAGTTATTGCCATGGGTAGGTGATGTTAACTCTGCATGTACATATACAACTATACTCTTTGCATGACTCTACATGTAGGAGTGGTACAATTTTGACTTGACTGTTGACCTGATGCCTCAATTTGGTGGTTGGGGCGGGGGGATGTGTGAGCAAGAGGTTGTGAATGGTACTAGTGGTATAAATTTTAAAATAAATTACTAATTTATTGTAAAAGCAACACTTAACTAAAGCCCTTTTAAAAATAGAACATTTGGTCAAATAGTCAATATTGTACTTGACCCTCATATCTTCTGCACCCAAGTATTTGGACATCACACAGTATCTTGATTCCATAATAATCATTTTGAACTCTGACGAGAACTCCATAAATGATAGAGCTTTCTTTTCCTTTTTAGAAAAGAAAAAAATCAAACATGAACCAATTTTTGCTATTTGAGCTAAAATCCATTACCAACTGGTACTGAGGCCACACTATTGAATTTTATGAACTTGATTTACCCTTTTGGGAGAATTGGAAATTATTTTTAAGTAGTCAACTGAAATTGTCATGATCGTCAGAATTTCATATTGTGACATGTCTGTTCTTTATACAGTGGCTCTTAACAACTCATTTGCTTTTATTTGGTCATTTTTATTTTAAAAATGTTGCTACATAAACCTGTGATTTGAGAACTTTGCTTTAAGGGATAAATACCCCAAATGTGTTCCATCTTTTGTTCAGTGACAATTTACACAATGGATGTTTGTATTAAAACTAATCCTTCATTGTGTTCTATTTTAATGATTCATTGGCATATGTATTCATAGTCAAAGAGTTTCATAAAATAGGCGTGTTTAATGTTAAACAGTCTTGATCTTAAAAAATCTTTATGGAAATACATAATTTGCCTGCACCTCATAAATAGCTGTTGGGGAGAAACTGCATTCTTTTATTTCTGCTTTATTCTAAAATGGAGATAGTAGTAAGGGATGTGTTTCATAATTGAATGAAAACTGTATTTTTGCTTTTTGCTGTTGCATTAGAAAAAGGGTAGCATTAGCATTTTAAAGCATGTATCTGTTCTACAAGCATGAATATTGAGTTATTTTAGCATGAATCACTGCAGTTTAATTACTCTGGAGCTCTGCTGCCTTTTTCAGTTAGTTAGGATGATTTGGAGGTAGAAGGGATCTCTTATTTTCCAGTAAGGACTTCAATGTCTTCCTCTAAAATAACCCATAAGGTTGCATATCGTTGCCTTGGAGCATGAGCTGGTTGTTTTTCTCAGGGAAAAGAAAATTTCTCCCTAACAAGACATCCAAAGCAAAATCCTGTAGGTGGATTTTGTGAGTATTTTCTTTTTTGTAGAACGTTGTAAAGTATATAACATCCCTGATATTTGTAAAGGGCTTTACTGGACATAGTCAAGTAGAACTCTTAGTGTTAGCCTTAGTTCTTTAGAATAGGAAAATACGTATTTGATTTTCTTCTCTGAATCTATTAGTGACTTTTTAAGTATTAGCTATTAAGAGAAAGAACTAGACTCATTCTCTTAAAAACTATAAAATGAGTTTTAATAGTTTGCCTCGGTTTTTTTCCTTTAAAAAATCAGTTTTACTCTGTGGAGTCTTCCCCTTTTTCATAATCTTTTGCTTTTTAGAAATATGGCAAGAACTCAGTGTAACTTTGTTCAGTATACTGTTGTCCTCCGTTCTTCATAATTATGCTCCTTTTCTACTTTTCAAATGTGTCCCTCATCTTTATAAGCTTGAGTTATCTTTTCCACTTTCACATCATGTACAAAATATTAGGTATATAAAGTGCAGCTTTTCTGACCAGATAGAATAATAAGATAAAGGCAACTGGCATTTGGAGGGCTCTTAGTTACAGAAGTATTTTTCACCCCATAAGTTAGATACAAGTATACATTTTCTTTCCTCCCTAGATGGACCTCCAGTTGTAGCTTATTATGATATGTCTGACACCAGCTCTGACCCAGAAGTGGTAAATGTGGACAATTTATTGGCGGCTGCAGTAGTTCAAGAGCACAGTAATTCTGTAGGAGGCCAGGACACAGGAGCTACCTGGAGGACCAGCGGGCTTCTAGAGGAGCTGAATGCGGAGGCAGGTTGGTCTCCCTCCCCTCCCCCCTCTCATGGTGTACTGTGCATGTGTCCCAGCAGCTGTTCTCCTTGTAGTGACCCTGCCAATGAGAGCAGGCCAACTAGACATCTGGCATTAGATGACTGTGACTATCCAGGGTGCCATTTGTAACTGAAAAGGAGATGTGGGTAGCATGTCGTTCATCTTTCCTAATGTGAAGGAAGCAAAAATGAGAAATAATGGTAGGCATAGGTAGATTCCAGTAGACCTATTTCTTGGGTTAAAAATACTTCACATACGTTAAAAACCATCCAGATGGCCTTAATACTCCTCCCCGCTCCTCTTCTCCAGGGGCTTCCCTCACTTAATCTGTACTGCGACCTTACTTTGCAGTGTGGGGAGGGAGCTTATTAAACTGGCCCCTGGGGGCTGCTCCTGTGCGGGGCTGCACTGTTTCTTCTGCTTCTCGGTGTGCCTGTCCCTGTCACTTCCTCTACGGTAGCTCTCAGGTTGTCTCTTCCAACCCTTTTCATTCAGTTTCTGCTTCTGGTATCTCAGGAAAATCTCTCTCCCTGTCTTGCATAATTTATCTGGGCTCTGTGATGATTCTGAAGAGTGATATTTATTCACTAAAAAAAAAAAAAACCATTGCATTGCTTTTGAAAACATTGCCCAGTGCCTCCAAGTCTCCTTAATTGTGTTCCTCAACACTTTTTCAACATTCTTTCTCATTTAAACCTTTTTCTTAAAGCACTAGTACTTAAGTTTGAAAAGAGAGGGGGAGGGGATTGAGAGACTGCTTTTAGTGTGTATTTTCCTACTTTAGTGTTACAGAAGGATTATAGCTTCTTAGTTAAATTATAAATTGCATTGGCTTTTATGAGCTACTCTTATAATTTAATCACTACCTAAAATATGTTTATGGGTTTTACAAAAATAATAATAGGTTTAGAACATATATATATATATATAGAAATTGCTAGGAAATAAAAAAGGAGACAGCGCTCCACAGATCATTGCCCTTAATTCTTCCTTCCATAATCTGATTGGAACAAAATAAAAATCTCTTATTTGTTGAGTTTCTGCTTAATTTATTATAGCTAATTTTGGAACAGGACCTGACTTTAGCTTTAAATATGTTTTGACTGCTAACTGCCTGTTTGACCTTGGACAAAGTGTCCTCTGGACTTCAGTTTTTGTATGTATAAATACTTGCTTTGCCCAACAAGGATCTTTTAAGGATTTATTAATATGTATAAGTACTTTAAAAAATTAAGCAGTAATATTTTATATCAAAGGAGAGTAGTTTGACCACATTTTGTTCAATATATATTTCTAAGTTATATGACTTGTTCTATACACTGGATAGTTTATCTTCATTTTTCTTCTGTTGACCAGTGATCCATTCTACTTCACTTTTATTTCCCTGTTTCTTAGTCTTGCTGTTAAATGTAGATCACTGTATAGTAAAGTCTTGGGGAAAACATGAATGATTACTTTTTGTTTTGCTTTTCATGTAGAGAATTTTAATATTCGTTTGAGCCATATGGAATTGTTAATATTTGACTTTTTGACCTGTAACAAACCCAGCAGTTTCACACAATTCAACCTAATAGTGCAAAGATGTGGGCTTTAAAGTATCCTTAAAGTTACCAGTATCGGGGATAGCATCACATTTTTTTTTTCTTTCAGATTTTATTTATTTATTTGACAGAGAGAGACACAGCGAGAGAGGGAACACAAGCAGGGGGAGTGGGAAAGGGAGAAGCAGGCTTCCCGCCGAGCAGGGAGCCTGATGCGGGACTCGATCCCAGGACCCTGGGATCATGACCTGAGCCGAAGGCAGACGCTTATTGACTGAGCCACCCAGGCACCCCGATAGCATCACATTTTCAGATTCAAGTAATTGTTAGCTTGATTGTTTAAAACATCACTAGCCTTTGTGTACTTGATTCTATTTTTGATTGTTTTTTTTGAATTTCAGTCACAAATTTTTAAAGAATATATCACTCAGATACCTTCTTAAGAGCCACCATTCTTAAGAAATGAAACATTACAAAAATATGTAAGGGAAACACCCACAGCTTCAACTCTGTTCCCTTTCCTTTTCCCTCTCCATTCCAAAGCTGTCTTGAATTTGGTATATTTGATGTTTGGTATTCCGTGTGTTTCTTTATATTTTTACTGCATTTATTATGTATCTGTAAACAAGCATGTTTTAATACTAATTGATATTATATTGAACGTAATGATTTGTAACTTGCTTTTTTCAACATTTTGTGTTTTGTTCTTGTTGATAAGTGTAGCTCTAGTTCATTCATTTTTCACTGCTGTTTAGTATTCACTGTATGAATATATCATAGTTGACCTACCCATTGTCTTTATTGGGCATTTAGGATGTTATTCCAAATGATGCTACCATTAACATTTCTTGTACATGTCTCTTGGTACACGTATGTGATTAGTTTCTTTAGGATATAATATATAGAGAACATACGCATGTATTGGGCCACACATATTGTGTGTAGATTTTTGTATATCATCACTGTTCAACAGATCCTCACCACATTTTCTTATGAAGCCATATATTGGCTCAAAGTCTTTTTTTCTAAATCTGACAATGCAGGTAGTGAGTGATAAAACTTAATAATACACTCTGGTCTTGATATAATTGTCTTAGTGGGAACCCATCTCGCAAATTTTGAATATACTTACAGTGCCACAACAAAATGTTAACAGAATTCATGCTTGTTTGCCAGTTTATAGTTTTGAGATTTGAATTCTAGCATCAATGAGATGGTCATTCTTATGGTTTGAATTTTTTTTTTAGGATTGTATTTATTTCAGAGGGAGAGAAAGACAGGGAGGGAGGGAGGGAAGGAAAGAGAGAATGAGTGGGGGAAGCGGCAGAGGGAGAGGGAGAAGCAGGCTCCCCACTGAGCAGGGAGTCTGATGCATTTGGATCAGGAGCTGAAAGATGTTTAACTGACTGAGCCACCCAAGTGCCCCCCCCTTTATTTATTTATTTATTTATTTATTTATTTGACAGGGAGACACAGCGAGAGAGGGAACACAAGCAGGGGGAGTGGGAGAGGGAGAAGCAGGCTTCCTGCCGAGCAGGGAGCCCAATACGGGGCTCGATCCCAGGACCCTGGGATCATGACCTGAGCTAAAGGCAGACGCTTAACGCCTGAGCCACCCAGGCGCCCCTCTTCAGTTTTAGTTTTAACCAAGGAAAATAATTGAAATCAGAAAGCCACTGGTCAAAAAAAGACCTAAACTTTCCATTTCAGCTGTTGTCATGTGTTTCCTTCTCCTTTCCTGATGCTAGAATTGAACAGTGTAGTGTAGGTAGCAGCCTGCTGCCAACAAACATCCTGGTTTGAACCAGCAGCCGCTTACATACTGTGTGAACTCAGGTAAATTACATAAAGCCTCAATTTTTCTTCTCTGCAAACCGGGATAAAACTAGTATCCATCCCAAAAAGGTTATTGTTCCCATTAGGTGAAATGATGTCTCTACTATACTTAGTGCAGAATACAGCACAAGGTAGGACCTCAGGAGTGCTGGCCAGCATTATGTAGCGTATGTATGCTGAAGTAGGCTGAGTAAGGAAGTGATTAATGGACCTAATCAGTGAATTTCTAATTTACTGTTCTGTCCCGGAGTGAGTTGCTCTGGCCACAGGAATTTCCTATACTTAGCTTGAGCATAAAAATTACCTAGGGTACTTCTAAAAATTCAGAATCCTAAATTTCTCCCTGAGGATTCTGTAAGTAGATCTGGTATGGGGTCTGGAAAATCTGTTTCTAGTAATCACTCCCAGGTAACTCTTGTGTTGGACATGTTGAGGAAATGGTATCAGTAAATAGGAATATGGCTTAATTTTTACTTATTGCTAGTAGTAGCTCACTGTACATGTAAAAGTAGATAAGGCTAAAACAAGCAGAAATCTGAAGTACTCTTGGTATGGAAGGCTTATAAAAGTTTATTTAGAGTGAACTCCCCCCCGTAAATTAAAACTTTTACAGAAATGATACGTTTTTTCCATCAGCCTTCTTGTCAAGAAGGTGGCCCATGAGCATGTTCCCATCCTTAAAATAGGGATGATGATCTTGATTTGTCCAGAACACTAGTTATAGTGCAGAGAAACAAATCTTGGGTTTCCTGTTCTTAGCCTAGGGCTTTTTATAATCAGACCAGAATGGCCATGTTTCTATTAATAGCACTTTGAAGTCAGTGTATCAGTCTTGTGAAGGAGATCACATTTGGTCGGGTTTCGCTTGTTTTTACCTGGTTCTTACGAGCTCTAAGATTTTAGTTCTCTGACTTCTTTTGCCCTACTTTTTAAAGTTGTTTTCCACATTCTTACTGAAAAATGCAAGGTAATAATTCACTTTTCAAGCTAAACGAATGATGACTTGAGATACTAACCTTTTTTATACCTAACGTGTCGCTGTCCTCCTGTCCTTTAATGTGCTGCAGATCGGCTTTGGACTAGTTCTTACCCAGCAGATTTGTGATTTAAAAAGTAGCTACATTATTTCTTTTGAAGACAGAAAGAAAATGTTTGCCATGATAATTTAGTTACGATTTTATGCTGTTTTCTTTCTGATTTGTGCGTTGAAAAGGTCTTTAGTGGGAGGACAAAAACTTAGAATTTCTCATAGAGTGAAAGAAGTTATCTTTCCAAAGAGCTGCACAGAGACAGCCAACTGCCCCCATAGTTAAATAAGTCCTCTGATTTATTTTCAGTTTAATATATGGTAATTGTGGTATTTACACTTTTTCTACAGGGCTTATTCTTGTCCTGCAACAGGAAAGATTATTGCCACTGACCGTATTCGAGAACCCCAGAGCATCTTTGAGGCTCCGTTTTGTGTATGTTTTAGCCATTGCTCTGTCACTGGATTCCTGTGAGGTCATGGGTTGGAGGGTTGACAGTGGAGGATGGCCCAAAGGCCAGAGAATGTGAAGCTGTGCACAGGAGCTCCCAAAGGAATGTATGACATACTGAAGAGGGT